GAGAGAGGAGGAGAAGGGGGGTTAGGGAGGGAGGGAGGGAGGAAGGAAAAGAATACAATAAGAAGACATATTTAGAGACAAAATTTATGACCTGAAGGATGGATTCAGTACTGGCAAAATGTTTAATGTCTTCTAGGAGTATAGTATGACACTCTTTCAGTATTTTAAGATGTGATAAAGACTTTTATTTGTGTTAGGGAAACATCATTTTCAATAATGCTCAAGGACTTCAACAAATGTAGCCAGGTGTGGTGGTGTACACCTTTAATTCCAGCTACTTGGGAGGCTAAGTAAGGATGATCATGAGTTCAAGACCAGCCTCAGTAACTTAGAGTGTGTAAAATAAAAAATAAACAGGGTTGGGGATGTAGCTCTGTGGTAAAGCACCTCTGGGTTCAATCTCTAGGATGGCAAGATTAATACTTCTTGTAATAATACTTATCCAACTCTTAATCATTCCAAATGAGAATTTCACATTCACCTATATTTGGTCAGCAGTTTTGACAATTTGGAACAGTTTATAAAGTGAGTAAGAGAAAAACATATAAAAGGGCATACTGGCAAGAGATAGCAAAATTATTTAAAAGAAATAAGTTCAATAAAGCTGGAACTTACAGTAGACTTTGGGAGTGAGGCCAGTAGTATGCTGCTAAAAGTTTAATAACTGGTTTTCTGAAGTCCAAAATCAGTAACAAAAACCTCTTATTTGTAGTGTTTGCTGAGCCCCGTGGTATATAAAGCCTATTTGGTGACTGATTTCAAACTATCTATGATTCAAAAACTGGTTCAATAAATTATAGGAACTTTAACAATTGGACCTCTCTACTACTAGCTGGCCAGAACACACCACTGGGGAAGAGCAATGGCGAGAAAACAGACCAGACAGACTAACTTGTAAACCATATTAAAGGGACTAGATTTTATCCTATTTATCCTAAGGACAACTTGTGAACATGATTAAAGGGTTTTGAGGGACATGATTAAAGTTTCATTTAAAAAAAATTAATTTGATTCCAATCAGTAGAAAAAATTAGAAAAAGGTGTTTTTTTTTTTTTTGGACTTTTTATGTCACAGACCACCTATGGCAATCTCGGTGATTATCTAAGATGAATTTTTCTAGAATAAAATTATGAAAAGCATGAAATAAAGTACAAAAGACTACAGGGGAAACCAATGATGTGAAATACAGTAACCAAGATAAGAAAATAAACTTGTGCTAGAGCAATTTGTGAGCTTCCTTATTAACTTTAAGCTATAATATCTAATTAGTATAATTAGTACTATAATTCAAGATGGTGATAAATAAAAGTGTTTTGTTATATCCACAACAATTAGCATGAAAATATTTGAAATTTTTATTGGTGACAAAGTCACAGGTTCTGTTAATACTTCTTTGGTTTGCTACCTATATTCAAAATAGAGAGTTGTCATTTCAGTAAGAAGCTAAAAGAAAAAAAAAGTATGTATATATGTCTGTGTGTGTGAATAATTTTTTTTTTACTATTCAAATTCAAGCACTTCCTGTGTCAGAGTATTATCTGGTTGAAGCAGAGAGTCAAGTTAGCTTTTATGGTAACCAAATAAGAAACATGAGCCTCTACCAGGAAAGGGAAAAGGAATGAATGGCTTTGGGAGATATCTAAGATGCAGCATCAAATGGACTTGATAATTGGATTAGATGGGAAGAATGAGGTAGAAAACAGTCAATAATTCTATTTTCTGGTTGGGGCAACTGGCTGGTTGATGGTACCATACAGTTAAGGAATAAAGAATAGAACCGGGATTCTAGGAAAGATAATTTTTAGTTCAAGAAGTACACAGTATTTAAAATGTCTATGGGAATTCAAAGAAAGATGTGCAGCAGGAAGCTAGATTATTAAATTGTATCTCAGGAGAATAGAATTAGTCAGATTATGAAGTTGTTAGCATAGCCTTAAGAGCTGACCACAGTATCTTAAAAAGTCTGTTGCTGTGCATGGTGGCACATACTTGTAATCCTAGCAATTCAGGAAGCTGAGGCAAGAGGATTGCAAGTTGGAAGCCAGCCTCAGAAACTTAGTGAGACCATGACTCAAAAATGGTTGTAGAGTGAGAAGAGAGGATGTCCTATAAATGAAACCCAACTTCTGCAAAGGAGTCTGAGAAGGAACAGTCAGAGAGAAGGCAAACCACCAGGAGTGTGTGGGAAAGTAAGGGGAGAGACTATTTACAAACAAAAAATGAGAGACAAGATCTCATGTGTCAAGAAAGATCAAAAATAATAAGTATTAAGAATTGTTATAGTCTTTATCCACAGGCAGATGATCTGGTCAAAAATACTCTCGGGCTGGGGTTGTGGCTCAGCGGTAGAGCACTCTCCTGGCATGTGCGAGACCCTGGGTTCGATCCTCAGCACCACATAAAAATAAATAAGTGAAATAAAGGTATTGTGTCCAACTACAACTAAAAAGTAAATATTTTTAAAAAATTCTGAATAGAGTAGTAGAGGCAAAAATCGTAATGCCAGGGATTGCAAAGTGAGAGGGGGATGAATCTGAGAAAAGGTGTGGACAATCTTTCAATAAGTTTGTGAAGGGGAAGGTGGATGACAGAAAGGTAGAAGAGACCTGACCATGTTTATGTCTCCATTAAGTGGAATTGAACACAGAAATAGAGAATAAAGGAGGCTTTTAAAATTTAGTGGAATGTTTTTGAGGTTCATCAAAATTGTATCACCTCATTCCTGTTTATTT